TGGGGACTTCTCTTTCTGGCTCTGGAACCCTGGACTGAGGGCCTAGTGGGGGTCTGGGACCCCTCACTCCTCAGGGGGCCCCTCCCAGCTGATATATCCCTCCTGAATTTTATCTACCACATGTGGGTTTGGGACTAGCCCATTCTACATCTTTGCCCTTCCTGCTGTATGAAGCTTCTACTGTATTACAGTAGTTATAGGATTTTTGTTCAGCTAGACTTCAGGAAGTTCTGAATGATGGTTATTCTGTAGTTTAGTTGTCGTTTTGATGTGGTTATGGGAGGATGCAAGTACCATATTTACCTATGCTACCATCTTGATCGGAGCTTCTAGCTATAGGATTTTCATACATGTTTTTTATCTGGTTGAGGAAGTTCCTGTCTAGTTGTATTTTCTGAGGTAATATGAAAACTACAAAAGTAATTGCTTGGCACAAATTGAATAATTCAAATATTGTATCAATTATGTTCTTCAATCTTGATGTATTATCTTTTCAGTAAAATGTTCAATAATACCTGAGTCCCTTCTTGTTTTGGACAGAAAGAAACCACATTTGCTAAGGTAAAAGGGGGATTATTTGATCATGGAAATGAGAGTTGTGCTCAGAGACTTATGATGCCATCAGGGCCCAGTTTCTATCTCCCAGGATCTCTGGCCTATAGTTCTGGCACCATTCTTAAACATCATCTCATCTTGTTATGGTAAAAATAGCCAGCAACTCCAGATCTTATGACTTCTCATACTGAAGGACACCAGAAAAGAGTGTCTCTGTCCTGGAAGTCTCAGCAAAAGTTTTATGGTGCCCTGGCAGTGTGGCTCAGTGGTTGAGCATCAACATAGGAACCAGGAGGTCACGGCCTGGTCAGGGCACTTGCCTGGGTTGCAGGCTCAATCCCTGTAAGGGTCATGCAGAAGGCAGCCTATCGATGATATTCCTCTCTCATCAATGTTTCTATTTCTCTATCCACCTCCCTCTCTAAAAATCAATAAAAGAAATATAAAACAAAACAAAACAAAAAACTGCTCTCTGGCAATCTAATTCTAATCTCTACAACATTCTCCACCTCTTTTCAGAACTCATTATGTTCTTGTCTCAAAGTAAACTTGGCTTTTCCTTGACATCATTACTTCTCAGGCAGCTTTTTCTAGAAGATACCCACCATTCTTTCTTCATCTGTATCACTTGGCCAGGAGATGGTATTCACTTAGACCTTCATTGTCACTTCCAAATCTTGACTTTCCAATCATATAAAAAAAAAATCTCTTTCTTTGAGTTGTATGATACTCAACTCTAACACCCACAACTCTGCCTTAACTAATCTGGTCACTTTCACTATCACTGAGGATGATGACAAGTAGTTCCTCAACAAGAAGAATGTGAAATGAAAATGACCTCCCATGTCTTCCAGTCTCTCAGTACCTCTTTCTGGAAACAACTGTGATTACCAATTTTTTTAATTTCTTCCAGAGATATCTTATGCAGATATAATCATGGGCATATAATTTATTTATATACACAAATGGTAGAATATTCTATACACTAATCTGAATCCTTTTTTTTTCCTTTTTGCTTAACAAAATACTTAGAATATTTTTCTTATCAGTAAATACAAATCTTCCTATTTTTAAAATATGTTTTTTATTGATTTCAGAAAGAGGGAGGGAGATAGACAGATAGGAACATCAATGATGAGAGAGAATCATTGATCGCCTACCTCCTGCACGTCCCCTACTGGGGATTGAGCCCACAACCCAGGCATGTGCCCTGACTGGGAATCAAACAGGCAACCTCCTGGTGCATGGGATGATGTTCAACCAATTGAGCCACACTGACGGGGCTCAAATTTTCCTTTTTTTAAAAAAAGTCTCTGCCATTGTAAATAAGGCTGCCTAAAATAACATTTTACCTATGTCAACCTTTATATTTGCAAGTTATTTGTGGCATCAGTTCTTAGAATTGAGATTGCTGGGTCAAAAGATACTTACTTTTTTTACATTGTAGTAGGTATTGACAAAATTGCTCTTGGTAGGCTGTGTGCTCATTTACACCCATCAGCAATGTTTGAGTCAGTTTCCAATTATCCTTGCCAACACCATATTTTATTCATTTCTTTCACCTTTGCCAATTTGATAATTGAAAAATGTTTCATAGACATTTTAATTTGTGATTTTCCTACTTTGAGTGAGGATGCTTATCTTTTCAAATGTTTAACACTGTATTCCCTTTCCTGTGAATTGTTAGCCATCTCCTTTGCCTATTGCGATATTGTGATTTATAACAAGAAATATACTTTGGTCTTGGTTCCTGTTTTGGGCACTGAGCTCCTAAAATCTTTGGAATTTCCTAAGCGATAAGAGCAACATATGTATTTTTATGATGTTAATGGTGACTTTTGGCACTTAAGATTGGGGGCTGGTTGCCTGGAGAACCAAACACGTGATTAGAGGGTTGGATCTTTCAGTTTCACCCCCTCCAGGCCTCCAGCGAGGGCCGAGGAAAAGGACTGGAGATTGAATCAATCAGCATTTACCAATGATTTAATCAATTATGCCTATGGAAGCCTCCATTAAAACCCAAAAGGACAAGGTTTGAAGAGTTTCTGGGTTGCTGAACCAGAATTCTTCCAGGTGCCACAGTGCTGGACCGCAAACTCCACAAAGACAGAAAAAGCTCCTTTGCCCTATGTATCTCTTCATCTGGATGCTAATTGTATCCTTTAATATCCTTTGTAATAAACCCATAATCTAGTGAGTAAACAGGTTTTCCAGGTTCTGTGAGCTGCTGTAGCAAATTAATTGAACCCAAGAAGGAGGTTGTGGGAACCTGATTTATAGCTTTTTGGTCAGAAGCATGAATAAAAGCTAAGCTTGTGATTGGCATCTGAAGTTGAGGGCTGTTTTGTGGGACTGAGCCCTTAACCTGTGGAATCTGGTGCTCTCTCTGGGTAGATAATGTCAGAATTAGTTGAACTATGGAACACACAGCAGATGTCAGAGAACTGCTTGGTGGTGTGGTGTGCCACATGATAGAATTCAGAGCAGAGCCCTTACCTATTTCCTCATTTTATTGCAGGTCTTTATATAATAAGGAAATTAGACCTCTACTGAGATGTGAGGTGCAATATATTTTTTCCTAGTTTGTTGAATCACCATTTGGTTTTGGTGTTTCTTGTGTAGAACAATTTTATTTAGATATTGTTTCGTTGATCAATCTTTCCATTTTGCTATTGCTATTTTATATTATACCTATACTTCCCCTATTTTGAGATGATTTTAAACAACTTCTGTACTCCATGGTGAATATCTTATATAATAAAGCCTAATATGCTAAGTGCTGACCATTAGTTTGACCATTTGACCAGTTGCTATGACACACACTGACCACCAGGGAGCAAATGCTTCGACCAGTAGGTTAGCTTGCTGCTGGGGTCTGGCCAATTGGGACTGGGTGAGACGGACCAGACCAAGCCCTGGAGCCCTCCCGCGGTCCCTCCCTGGCCCCAATGGTGCACCAGTGGGGTCCCTCGGCCTGGCCTGCGCCCTCTCGAAATCTGGGACCCCTTGGAGGATGTCAGAGAGCCGGTTTTGTCCCAATCCCCACAGGCTAAGCCAAGGGACTCCACCAGTGCATGAATCTGTGCACCGGGCCTCTAGTAGTTAATAATACTGTATTGCATATTTGACAGTTACTAAGAGAGTAGATCTTAAAAGTTTGAATCACAAGAAAAAAAATTGTAACTATGTATAGTGATGGACATGAAGTGGACTTGTGGTGATCATTTTGCAACAAATATAAATATCAAATTATTATGTTTTGTACCATAAATTAATGTTATACTCCGTATGTGTTAGGGTTTGACGGGGACAGGGACTGTGAAAGAATTCACAACTATAAGCAGAGATGCAGAGAGGAAGTTTACTGTCCTTTCCACAAAGGGAAAGGGCTAAGTGGTACTGCTAATCAATACAGGGCAAGAAACAAAAAGTGGCTTCTCTTTTTAAAGAGTCTTGGCTGCTGTTTCTAGGTGACAAAGAAGGGAGGAGGATTGGGTGCTGAAGTTGAGTTGTTTGTTTTTCAGGAGATAGTCCTGAGGATGTCCTAGGGAGGTGTCTTATCAGTATTTTTCCCAAGCTTGTAAAACATGCTTAAGAGCAAAAGTTATAAAGAGTTCAAAAGAGGCTTGTCTGAAGGGGTGGGGATGAGGGGTGGGGAGGGAACTTTCTACTAACTAGAGACTCCTTGGTATGAATTATCCCTGAGTTCTGAAAACAGCAGGGAGGAGGTGGATGTAAGAATGTAGCCTTGAGAGTAGTTTATCTTGTCCCTCAGTTTGAACCAGAAGAGCTAACAATCTTGGCGTTTAATTACCACGTGGCCTTCTCACAAATTGTGGAAGGCCACAGCAAAGAAAAAGAAAGGCCTTTTCCTGTCCTTACCATATGTCAATTATACCTCAATTAAAAGAAAAAGAAATTCACATTAGTTTTGGTAGAAAAGAAGTACTTAAAATTTATTTCATTTTTTTAAAACTTGATTAAGGAGCTTCCCAAAATTCCACTTAATGTGGATTTTGTCAGTAAATGTCAACTAAGAAAAAAATTTTTTTCATCTATTACTTCAATTTTTATGTGTTTAATTATAGACACAAATCTTTGGTCCATATAGAATCCTAGTCTTTCTAACTCTTGCCACTATGGGGGAATCACTTCAGTGTAAAGGACCTTCTCAACTTTCTACCCACTACCGTCTTTGATCTCCTGTGCTCAGATAGCCACCTCCCTTCAGACCTCTCTTTAGCATATCTCAGAACTTCTCATCACCTATGAGACCCTTCTCCTTTTCCAAAATCCTAAAACTCTCACATTCCACTTCCTCATTATGATCTCTTATCCTTCTAGGACCCTTGCTTCCTTAATTTGATTGCAAATTTATAATAGTTTTATCAAGATTTCTGACCCTTAATATCTCTCTTTTTTCTTATATTGTCTGCCCTTCCTAGGTAGGACCACATAATGATTTTCATGAGCCCTAAACATTTTTTCCTCCATTGGCTTCTTGCTCAATAAAAAAGTAAGTTATATTTTACAATTGCACTTATATAAAGATAAATATATTTACATATATATTTAACCTTTTCTTTGCCTTAGTTTATTTTTCTTCTGTTTCTAAAAGAAAAAACATTTTTGTGGGCTCTAAAGCTCTGTGGCTTAAACATCATTCAGCCCTGCTCCTAGGCACTGATTTACTGCTTTGATCACTTTCTCAATGGTCAAAGCAGTAAATCAACACCATCCCCTGCACTTTGGCCCCTTGTTTTCCTGTGTATTTGTACTGCTAAACCTCAAACCTATATGAATCTTCTGAGCCCTACTAGAGAAAAATTATAAAGGAGATTGGTGCCATCACAGTTTAAGGGTCCATGACATGAACTGAGCCCTCAACATGTTTAACTATTTTTCTACATGTTCCTGATCACTTATCTGTTCATTCCTCATGTTTGCTATTCCAAATCATTTAGCATTCTATTCAACTAAGAGAAAATAAAGCATGCACTCTTTTAACTCTCCATTCTTCCATATTCTGATTAGCCTTGGCTGGGTAAGAAAACATTCCAAGATTCAGTGGCTTAAAACAAAAATTATTCTTCTCTTAAGATTTTGTGGATTGACAAGCACAGCTGGGCAGTTCTCGTTTTGGGTCTCTTGTGTGATTGCACCTTAACCTACAGTCAGTTTGACCTATAGACAATTGAAGATTTGACCGAGTTGGATGCTCAAGATGTCACTCCCACATGGCTGGCAATTGCTGTTAGCTGTAAGCCAGGAGCTGGGGTGGGGCTGTCAACCAGAGTACCTACATGGGCCCTGCCTTTCTATGTGCCTCCATGGTGGCTGGGTCTGCAAAGGAGAGGCCCAAGAGCAAGCATTCCAAATCCGGGTCATAAGCCATGGAAGTCCCAGAATGTCAATTCTACTGCATTCTATTGGTCAAGAAAATCACTAAGAAAAACCTACATTCAAGGGTAAGAGAAGGACTCCATCTTTCGATGGAGGAGTGGTACAGTTACATTACCAAAGAACATATGGATGGAAAATACAATCTGCCATATGTAAAATAGGTTGCTTTTATACCCGTTTTTACTTTCTTCATTCCCATCTCCGAGGACATGATATCTATCTGTTCATAGCTGATTCTTAACATAACAGCTAGCTTGTGCTTAGCCTTTCAGAGACCTCATTTTATTAAATATCTCTCCTCTTATGTGTTCAGTCTTTTTCCTCTACTGGCTATGTTCTTATGAATATCCTCAAGTCTCCTTTAAGAATAAAAAATTTATCTTTGTCTAGTATTCCACGCTAAATAATTGCCTTATATTTCTCTATGTACAAACATGATTTTTGAAAATTGGGTCTGTCATTGATTTTATCTTTCCCATTCACTACTCAATCTACTGCATACTAGATATAGACTGCCATCCCTAACACATATTGAAACTACTCTTGTGGTTACTGAAGACTTCATAATTCCCTAATCCAACAGGTACTTTAAAATCTTTATCTCAACATTTTGGTAATATTTAAAGATTTAAATATTTAAATATTTATTTGGTTATTACCTTGTACTTGAAACGATGTATAGGCTTTTATGAATCCACTACTGATTTTTTATATGACTTCTTGGCTTTATAGTAGATAGTGAAGTCTTAGAGAATGAAAGGAAAGAATAGGATAGTATGTTAATTCCCCATGGCTTTGTAATACTACACACTTGGTGGTCTAAAACAATAGGAATTATTTATTCTTTCTCAGTTACAGAGGCCAGAAGTCCAAAATCAGTAGCGCTGGGCTGAAATCAAAGTGTCCGCAGGGCTGTGCTCCCTTCAGAGGTTCTAAGGGAGAATAAATTCTCTTTCACTTTCAGCTTCTGATTGCTACTGGCATTCCTTACCTTGGGATCACTTCTGTTTTCAAGTACAGAATCTGTAAATCTCTCTGTTCAGTCTTCACGTTGCCTTCTTCTTGGTATGTATGTCAAACCTCCCCCCATCACTTTTTTCTTATAAAGACATATGTCACAGCATTTAGGGCCCACATAGATAATCCAGGGAAAACTCCTCATCTCAAAATCCCTAATTTAATAACATCAAATCCTTTTCCAAATAGGATAACATTTACAGGTCCCAGGTATTAGGGCATGGCTGTATTTTGGGGTCCCATTTCTTAGCTTAGCATAAATGAAGAAGAAAACTAACCTTGTAATTCAAAATGTTATGGAAGGTCATGGATAAACAGGCTGAGATGAGTGTAGCTAATATAAGCTAAAACATGAATTTCAAATGAACAATGGAAAGTATTATTATTATTATTATTATTATTATTATTATTGGGGTCAATTTGTTATTCCACTTACTTATGCATTCATTGGTTGATTCTTGTACAAGCCCTGACTGGAGATCAAACACACAATCCTGACATATCGGGGCGATGCTCTAACCAACTGAACTAAGCTGGCCAGGGCAGCAGTGGAAATTATTGAGGTACTTTTAAAAAAAAAACTTTTTAAAGGCTGGAAAACTCAGTTCAGAAGAATAAAAATGGCAACTCTTGCAGCTTGAAGGAAGAAGCTGTCATGGAATGGGCTGCAAGGGAAGGAATCAGGAAAAAAATATATTTCAGGTAAGATAGAAAGTAGCTTAGATGAGTACCTATCTTGACATAGCAGTTATAATGAAGTATTGTTAGTAAGCACTAAAAATCAATCTGAAACATAACTTGTTTAAACTAACAGTGATTGTACAAATCATTTATCATGGTTTCCAAACCACTATCTTAGAATAGATACTGTATAGTTAATGCATCATTAATTAATTAAAAGACTACTAAAATTCCAGACACTAGTGCTTGAGTATGCCCTTATTCAGGAACTTTAATTAAATAGAATCAATTGAATTAATGATCTAATGAAGGAAATGATCTTAAGCAAGACTTGCATTCTATTGCCGGAGAAAAATTGTCCCAGGAGACTCATTTGACCACTGACCTATCAAGATAAGCACACTTGCTTGTGTAACCAAGTAGTCATTCAGATATGGAGCTCCATAAGTCTAATTTATATACCTTTTTTTCTTCTTTAATTTTCATCTAAAATGATAAAAATTTAAAAAGCAATCAATTGTTAATAACAGTAAAATCATATTTCATATTACGTATCATGAATTTGCTTTGAAATGTGGGGAAAAGATTTTTAGTGTTGACCACGACAGACTGAAGTTCAAAAAGAGAAAAAGCCAAAAATGTACCATAATTGCTCCTGAAGTGGAGTCTATTATTGATTTCTTCCCCATCATCTCATCAAACAGAAAGTGAAGAGAGGAAAATACAAGTTCAGAGGGACTAGCTGCCCAGGTATTGGACAGGAGCGTTGAGTGAAAATTTCTGGCTCATTAAAAACATTTAAAGGAAGCAGCTTGTCCTCATGGAGGAATCATTATTCTCAGTTTGAGTTCATCCTCTGGACTTTTCACCTCTCCAGCAGGGCGCGTTCTGGGCAATTTCTAAGAAGTGCTTCTTTAATGGGAGGGATTTATGTTAAGTTGGTTCAGGAGAGGTAGACAATTGTGGAGCCTTTTTAATGGACTACAAAAGGCTGTCGAGTAATTAAATAGATTTCTTTTCCCTTAGACTGTTCCATGGTTTTAAAAACACTCCACTGAGCATGTAAAATCAATTTCCATTACTGGCCTTGACCTTTGCAGTTTTATAAACATGTTTTTTTCCTGGGTTTGGAATGTGGCTCAAAGGCAATAGTAGAAGACTAGATGAGATAAGTCGTTGTCATAAAAGTTACTGCTTTTACAGTAAAAGTCTTTTTTTTTTTCACACAGGCATTCATTCAACTGTGTATGTTATAAATATCATTACATAAACACCTGCTTCTTTATACTACATATGTATATGTGTATTTATATTGAAGGCAGGCTTTTTAATTTTTATTGCTCTATAATGAAAAAAAACCCACACAATTGGTTTTCTCTGCTAAAGGTATTTTTTCCTTTTCCATTGCAAGAAGGTAGCCAAGCCATTATGTTTCTTTGCCCCAGGGACTTTAGGTTGCTTGAATGCAAAGCAGATATCCCCAGAGGACAGCCATTCCTTTTTGTAGGTTCTGTTTTGGAACACTAGCCCATTGTGGGAATTATGCCACATCACCCAGAGTGGAGGAAAAGAAAGATAAGGGCTGGCTTTGCGGCCGCTGCCGCCACAGAGCCGCCCATGACCAGCCATAGTGAACCTCACCATGTTCTTCAGTGAGCCCTTGGACCGCGTCTCCTTTGAGCTGTTTGCAGACAAAGTTCCAATGACAGCAGAAAACTTCCATGCTCTGAGCACTGGGGAGAAAGGATTTGGTTATAAAGGTTCCTGCTTTCACAGAATTATTCCAGGATTTATGTGACACAGTGGTGACTTCACACACCACAATGGCACAGGTGGCAAGTGCATCTATGGGGAGAAATTTGAGGATGAGAACTTCATCCTGAAACATACAGGTCCTGGCATCTTGTCCATGGCAAATGCTGGACCTAACACAAACTGGTTCCCAGCTTTTCATCTGCGCTGCCAAGACTGAATGGTTGGATGGCAAGCATGTGATCTCCCGCCAGGTGAAAGAAGGCATGGATATTGTGACAGCCGTGGAGCGCTTTGGGTCCAGAAATGGCAAGACCAGCAAGAAGATCACCATTGCTGACTGTGGACAATTCTAATAAATTTGACTTGTGTTTTTATCTTAACCACCAGACCATTCCTTGTAGCTCAGGAGAGTACCCTTTCACCCTGATTTGCTTGGAATCCTATATAATTAAAGGCAAATATGCAAATTCTCCCCTTGACCGGGAGTTCTACTGAGAGTTCAACCTGGAGTTTGACCAGGGGGTGGGGCCCACTGGCCAACTGCCCAAGTCCCCTCCTCCCGGCCAGCTTGGCCCCAATTGGGGCGGGCCAGCTAGACCCCACCTGTGCACAAATTCATGCACCGGGCCTCTAGTGTTCTATAATCATTGGGTTCTAAAATTTCCTTACCCCTTTCCAGTCTAGCTGGATTGCAGAGTTAAGTTTATGATTATGAAATAAAAACTTAACAGTTGTCTGTCAAAGAGAGAGAGAGAGAGAGAGAGAGAGAGAGAGAAAGAAAGAAAGAAAGAAAGAAAGAAAGAAAGAAAGAGAAAGAAAGAAAGAAAGAAAGAAAGAAAGAAAGAAAGAAAGAAAGAAAGAAAGAAAGAAAGAAAGAAAGAAAGAAAAAAAAAGAAAGATGAGGGCTTTTGGAGGGTGGAGGTGGAAATAAAACTGTCTACTGGCAATCAATTCCTTTGGAAGAGCAAAAGGCGGGGGGTTTGGGTGGTTTCCAAAGAAGGAAGTGTTTGTTACCTTTCACTTGAGCAGATTCCTACAGGACATTGAGGAGCCGTGGTCTCAGGAATTGAGATGACAGAGACCCTTGTTCAAGTTTAGCTGTGAGTACAGTTTCCCTCAGGGACCAGATCATGTGGCCTGGACAATGAACAAGGCAGTAGGCATGGTGGAGACCACAAGCCTTCCTTTCAATATTTTAGAATGCAGAAGACATCCCCATCCCCAACCTTTGTATCACCTGGAAATGAGAGTGGAGGAGGGCAGTCCAGAAATGACAGAAATGGAATTTCCTGCCAGGCAATTTCTGCTCTAAGAGCTCAATTTGATTTAAACAAAATAAAGAAATGTGATATTTCTTAGACCCAGAGTTATGGTGAAATTTTCATTCTTGATTTTTTGGTTTCAGTCATTACCTATTCATATCCCATTTGGAAGATGATTTTTCTTTAGTCCTCATACTTACACCACACCCCATCACATGCATCCTTTTTTGCTCCCCATCTTTCTAGTATAGTTATTTTATAATTTAGGTTAGAGAACAATTGTTGTGTTACTATGATGATGTACTGTATTTTTCCATGTATAAGACACTATTTTTTCTAAAATCATTAGACTGAAAATCGAGGGGTGTCTTATACATGGAAGTCAGAAGTCAGCCGAGGAGGGAGCCTTGCAGGTGTGTAGCTGCCCATACCTTGTCAAACAGGCTTCCTCCAATCACGAGCCTTATTGTTACTGATATCAGCTGATGCCATAATTGGAAGTAGAGGTGGAAAGTGCGCAGATACAACAGAGACCAGAGTGTTCGGAGCCCATAAAGATCTCAAAAAATAAAAAGATAAATACCGGTAAGCAATTGTCTTACTCTGCAAAATCCAAACTGAATATAATCAGCTATGCAAAAGAGCATGGACATAGAGCTGCAGAGAGACAATTTGGACCTCCTCCCACTGAGTGTGTGATCAGACAGTGGAGAAAACAGGAAGAACAACTCCTTAAGATGCCAAAAAAGAAGAAGGCCTTAAGAGGAAAACCAGCAAAATGTTTAAAATATTGATTTCTTAATTTTGTATTGGAAAGTGGGGGGTGTCTTATACATGGGGGCATCTTATACATGGAAAAATACGGTATATGCTATTCAAAGCTTATAGAATGCAGTGATTTATACAAATAAGATTATTCCTCTAATTTTCAACTGTGTTTTTCTTGGATTAAATAATTGTCCTAAAATTTTTTTTGATTAGTTTTCTACATATTTCTAATTGAAACTTTTTGCCATTTGCATAAATATCTTCTTGCTGTGTTCAGACACATAAGGCATTCTGTCGTTTCCTGAAGCATGCTAAACTGCCCTACTCCAGAAAGGCTATCCTCAGGGTCCCCACACGGCTGTGACCACGGACTTGCTCTTGACCAGAGTTCTGTGGTTCTCTCCACCTTGTCTCCCTGGTAGAGTTCCTGTCTCCAAGGTCTTGTCTTCCTCTTTTTTGGTTTAACCACTGTGAAGCACAATCTCTAAGTGGCTATCTGAGAGGCTGCAGGTGATGTAAAAATTTTGCTACCCTGAAAGTGAGAAAATGTCCTTATTCTTCCCTCATACTTACTTGATAGGTTGGCTGAATATAGGCATATATGTTGAGAAATACTTTCTTCATAATCTTTAAGGTATTGCTTTTCTATTTCCAGTGTGCTGTTGAAAAATCCAAAGCTATTCAGATTCTTTATCTTTTCAGGTGACCATCTCTCCACCCCCCTCCTGCATCCTTACCCTCAAGCTTGCCTTCGTCCCAGTGTTTTAAGATTTCACAATGATGTGACTTTGGTGTTGTGCATTCTCAAACATTACCTGGGAATTCTGGACACGATTTCACGCTGGATATTAGCTCATTTTTGTTCCAGGAAATTACTTTAAATGTTTTTCTCATTTTCTCTGTTGTGTTTCTTGGGGAGTTCTTATATTTGAATGTTGAACTTTGAACTTGTCCTCTAATTTTCTGACTTTTTTCTCCTCTTTTCCATTTTTTGAATCCTTTTTTTTTTTCTTGCTCTGCTTTCTGAGAAATTTCTCCAGGTTTATCTTCTAACACTTCAATTGACATTTTCATCTATGCCATTGCATTTTTAACATTTCTATTGATTGATTGATTTTTTTTACAACAGGCTATACTTGTTTCATAGAAACAATGTCTTCTCATACCTCGATAAATATACTAATGATAGTATATTTTCTTCTCTCTGTATTGTCTCTGGTTCTTCTAGTTTGCTTAAACTGTAACTCAGTTCTTTATTTTTTGTATTAAATGATATCTAAGATATCTGGTGATCCTCTGTGTTTGCACATATTTAAGAGTGTGGCATGCTTAGAGAATGAGAGTGGATATTGTTGACTTAGCTGTACGTAGGGAGATCTATCTAGGTCAGTGTTAATATAACTGTATGCAATGATGGGCATGTTATATATTGACACTGTCCAACACCATAACCAGTAGCACATGTGTCTGTTGATAATTTGAAATGTGGCTAGTGCTACTGAGGAACTGATGCATCAATTTTAGTTAATTTAAATAATCCAAAATTTAATGTAAATCACTACAGGTAGCTAGTGGCTACTGAATCATAGGGTTTGGGGTGCAGATTCTTCTCGTGGGTCCTTGTCCAACGAAATTGAATAAATTCGTGGACTAAAGGCTTCTTTAATAAAAATGTGGAAGTTTATTGTAAGCGTATACAAACTCTCTCTGGGGAGGGGTCCCCAAATGGGAAAAACCCACTCTCTCTCTAATCATTAGAGTCTAATGGGAAAATATCTAAGTCCAAAAAGTTTTCTTTGTCTCTTTGTCTCCAGGTTTATAAAGGCTGTAGCTCTTTGTCTGAACATGACCCTTTCTAATTGGACTCTTCCTTAATTTAGGATCCCCATGCTTTCCTCATTGGTCACTCTGCTACATAGTATCAGTTTCAAAGCTCAAAACCCATGTGGTGCCCTCCTCTTTCTCTCCCCCTTATCTTGCAACATTCCTCTATCCTCTGTGAAAATATGTTTCCCTCTTCCCGGTATCCTGTGACTTTTCTTTATCCTCTGTGAAAATATTCTGGCGTCTTAGAGCTATTTTTGCCGTTCACATATGCATTCCTCTCCCATGAACCCTCCTTATCTCCTGATACTGCCTGTCCTATCTCTAAAATTCCTTTCACTACTATATTGAACAATGCAAGTCCAGGCTTTCTTTTTGAAGTGTGTGTGTGTGTGTGTGTGTGTGTGTGTGTGTGTGTGTGAGAATTTGGTTGGATTCATTAGAGAAATCACTTTGAGCTGCTTTCTGGCCAAATTGCTAGCATTGAGAACCAGGTAGAGGAAGAGGAGAAGGGGGCAGGGATAAGTTTTGTTTTCAATATGCCAACACTCACTAATCTTAATTTTCTGTCCTGTATTGCCACCCTTCAGCTCTCCTAGAGCCCTCTGTTTTAGCTTTTTCAAAAAAATAAACTTCTAGGCTTTTGCTGGGAGTAGAGAGGAGATCTGAGGCTCTAATTGCTTCATGGTTTCTGTTCTACCTTCAGTCCACTTCCTGAGCTGCCTAGTACGTCCAGCTCTCAAGACTTGTGTGTAATCAAATGCTTCTCAGCTTCTCTGCCATCTTGGGACCCATCACTCTGGGATCTGGCACATCAGTTACCTTTCATTAATCTTCTCACCTTTCAACTGTTGAGGCTGTCATGCCTTTCCTCATTCTTTGTCCTTATTATTTGATGTCCTGGGGCAAAAATTCTTTACCATGTTTTCATGGGGTTTCAGAAAAGTATAAAAACAAATGAGTATTCTTCAGTCACTCAGTCACCTTTACTCCACAGTTAGTTTATTTCATATGTGTGTTGTTTCAGTTTGTTCAGGCTGCTATAACAAAAATATCATAGACTGAATGGCCTAACAGCCAACATTTATTTGTCACAGTTCTGGAGGCCAGGAAATTCAATAACAAGGTGCTGGCAGATTTGGTGTTTGGTGAGTACACTAATCCTGTTCATGAGGGCTCATGATCTAATCACCTTCCAAAGGCTGTACCTCCTAATACCATCATGTTTGGGGTTAGGATTTTAAAATATGAATTTTGGGGAGACACAAACATTCAGTCCACACCATGGGTTTACATTTATAATCTTTCCAATCTAATCACTTACTACACTGCCTTTTTAAAAAAAAATTATTATTCATTTTACAGAGAGGAAGGGAGAGGGATAGAGAGTTAGAAATATCGATCAGCTGCCTTCTGCATGCCTCCTACTGGGGATCCAGCCCGCAACCAAGGTACATACCCTTGACCAGAATCAAACCCAGGACCCTTCAGTCCTCAGGCCAACGCTCTATCTACTGAGCCAAACTGGTTAGGGTTACTATACTACTTTTTAAGTTGATCTTTAAAAGAATTTTTAACAGCGACTGTTATAATTAAGAATTCATACCTCTAGCAATAATTTCAAATCTATATAAAATATTTTTGCCTGTTTTTTTAGCTGACTTCTACAAGCATTTGAACTCGCACTTATTGAGGCTGAATCTGGATAATTGAATAGGCCTTTCATAACAGGAGAGACGAAGTACAGGTTCAAATATAAGGTGAGCCTTTTTAGCTCTAAGAAAAAATTGGAGAACAATTATACCTTTTATTTAGATATATGCAATTAGCTTTTCTTTCTTTTTTTCTTTATTAATTATTACATATGTGTCCTTATCCCCCCATTCCCCCCCCCACACCAAACCCATTCATGCCCTCACCCTCCTAGTGTCTGCATCCATTGGTTATGTTTATATGCATGCATACAAGTCTTTTGGTTGATCTCTCCCCCTTACCCGCACTGCAATTAGCTTTTCAAAATAATTGAATAGACCTCCTATAATATGAGAGACTTTATGAAGACTCAAATATAGGGCAATTATTTTTATTTCTATGGCATAACTTTTGGAGAAAATATCATTTATATTCAAGTTTAGATGGTATTTAGGCAAATCTGTACAAAATATAAAGCATGGGTGTAACTTAAATACATAATCAGTGCTATTGTGTTTTCCCTCCTTTTCTCAAACTATGAAGGTTGGATTTTCCTGGGGGTGCAAATTCAAATTACTATGAATTACAGAAAATGAGATGCTATTTATTGTTCATCCATGTTTAGATGGAATTGGGCATAAGTCCAATATGTATTTAAAGGAATCTATGAGAAGGGAGATCAACACAGTCATGGGTAGAGTAAGCCATTTAACTCATTTATAAAGTCATACATTTTAAACTTGTATTACAGTTTGGACTTTTTATGGAGTTGGATGGTTTATTTCTGCTCCTCATTTCCTAACAGTAGGTAGCTGACTTTTCTTGCAAAATAAAGATGGCTCCTCAGGTGAGCCTAGACAGTCGTTTGGATGCTAAAATGAGTCTCTTCTCAGTGGATTGGTTTTCTGTTTTTATTAAATCAACAGTTTGATTTGTGTGTAAATCTTAGTGGCTGGGAAATCCCATTTGTGTCTATTTTTCTGTTCAAGTTCTGGTTGAAGGTATTGCTCCACCCACATTGTTCTTCCTTTTCCCTGAACTCCTACCCCACGTGGAATTTGCACTGCGTGATTTAGAATCTAATTCCATAGTGTTTTGCTGCTGCTTGCTTCAGACAGTTTTTAATTCCCCTCCACCTCCACTGCCCTGCTCATCTAACTAAATTATGATGGTTCAGAAGACAAAAGTCATGTTTGGTATGTCTTTTTTTAATCCTCACCCGGGGATATTTTTTCCATTGATTTTTTAGAGAGAGTGGAGGGGGGCAGTGGGGAGAGAGAGAGAGAGAAACATTGATGTGAGAAAGACACATCAATTGGTTGCCTCCACATGCACTCCTACCCAGGGGCCGGGAATGGAGCCTGCAACCGAGGTACGTGCCCTTGACCGGAAATCAAACCCAAGATCCTTTGGTCCACGGGGACTGATGCTCTAACCACTGAGCAAACCAACCAGGGCTGGTCTTTGTAAACTGCACAGGGCCACTCTTGTAGAGGCACTCAGGTTAGGCTTTCTCATTGAGAGAGATTTGGGACGTATGCTACCATTTATCTTGTACATCTTCTGTCCCAAGTGCCATGTAGACACTTTACATATTTCTCATCCTTACATAGATACTGCAAAAGTACTGATATTTTTATCTCATTTCTCAGTTGAATCTGACACTCAGAGAAGGCAAGTAACTTACATATAGCTGTTAAGCATCTGAACCCGACTTAAATCCGGATTTAAACCCAGCTCTTCCTGCTACCCCAATTCAACTCGCCTCGTTCTCAGAACTCACATAGAGTCCAAATAAACACATTAGAGCATCATTACTTAGCTTGCATCTAGGTTTGTTACTGGACTACTAACCTAGACGGAATTCAAGTTCTATCCTGCTGACCTCCAATGTTAGCTCTGCACTTTTGAGAACTAGGCGACCAACTATCTGAGCAGACGTATTGTCTCTTTAGGGCCATTGGAGCCTGACGAGAGCCCTGGAGCATCAAGATATCATCAATGAACAGCCTGGTTCTGAAACCCAGTACTTCCCCCTAATCTAATGCTGGCAGGGCTGTTGTAGTGACGTAGGGCCTGGAATTTGTCTCTTCCTTTTCTTCTCTGCATTTCATCACTCCCACATTTTTTAAAGCAAAACTTCCTCTATGATATAATAATGGGTAAGCACTCAGAGTTTCCAAGTGACAAGTGAGCGCCAGGACTATTTTCTTTGCCTTGGGAAGCTATAAATTCCCAGGTCTACTCAGATTCCAGTGACTTTCAGAGACACAGAGCCGCCGCTCTCCTTAAGAAAGGCCACCAATGGGAGTGATTTCTGGTGACGCAATGCTGATATTTTAGTACCATCCTGGAGAAGGGAAGAGGGGGGTTTCTCCGGAGCCAGATGAACTCATAATTAGTTCTCACCCAGGCTGCTTAAGCAATTATGGTGAAACCAAATCACATTACTTTTTTTTTCTCCTGCTCTTGATAAAAGCCTCAACCCTGCTCCTTCTGCCCCATAGGGCCCTTGGCTGGCCATTATTTCTAATACCACAGATGCTGTTGCTCACTTTTGTTTCCAGGCTACAACTGTCACTGTGTAAAATAAGAAGTGTGGGGGAAATAATGTACACCTCTCGGTCTCACTACTTCAGAGGCACCTAGCAACCCTGTCTCCAGGCAGGCAGCACGCATCTCCCTGGTAGTTTATTGCCCACTCACAGCAGAGGCGGTGTGCTCTCTGCAAATAGTCTACATCTTTGCCGGTGCCAGCTTGGCGGTGGGGTGCCGGTGTCATTTGGTGTCCTCAGGGATGTTTGGTTCTTGTTCTGGGAAGACTAGGGCAAAGCAACGACGATTTCCCCAAAGCTGTTGGTGGAATCAGAAATTAGGTTAAGCGGTTCTGTACTCGAGGTGGCGTCACCTAAAATCAAAAGCAATGGTTCTCAACCTTTGTTTTGTCCAGTCTTTGACACATTTCTGACGTGAACCTTCCAGAATGTTCATGACATTCTCTTCTAAAGGATGTTTCCCAGGTATGTCTATGTGACGAGCAGCCCTTCTGGCCATTTTGTCCATCTGCACCCCTGCCCATCCACCTGCCTGTCAGCCAGCCCCCCAGTTTTCGGCATATCCGCTCTGTGCCTCCGAAATACCAATTGGACAGCAGAGAGCCCTGGGCTGGCTCACCAACCAGCCACATGGACATTTCATTTTAGGCTCATGTACCACGGGGCATTAATATGTGCATGTGCAGACTTGTCATTTGCTTTCTGTACATTAGTGAATTGTTAAACATTTTTTGTTTCTTTACTACTTATATTTTTTTATCACATTTTGACCCTCCCCCAGAGTAAAAGCCTTTGGAGAATGAAAGCCAGATCTCCTGTGGAGGGAAACCAAGCTTTTCCTGGGATGAGTGATCAAAAAATGGAAGGACTCCGAGTCCTAGGTATGTAAAGCTTGAATTGGGAAACTGTGAGTGCTGCTGGGTAGAGGGGTAATCCCAAGGTATCAGGAAGGAACTAGGTTTTAACCTCCAAGAGTCATTCTCTCATTCACTCACCAAACAATTATTGAATTCCTAATGAAATATCTTACTGACAAGCTCATAGTCTGGGGATATTTTAGTAAAAACAAGAATTCGGGACAATGCCAGATGTGTTGTAATACAAGTACTTACAAAGTGCTTTGGGAGCTTGAATGGGGATGGCGAGGCTCTCCAGGGAGATGGGAAGTGATATTTATATTATTTAATTTTTAATAAGAGCCACGCTTAACAACTGGCTCACAACATTCCTAAAAATCTAGCACTTGGCTCTCATGAGCTGGTGTGCACTGGCTGCAGCACATCATGGGATGAAGGTGAAACTGCGAAGTGTAGCTATGTCCTGTAGCCATGCTAAGGAATTGGACTCTCTCCATGAAGCAGGATAATTTGAAATATTACCTAGTGGTTTTGTGTCTCTTGTCTTATATATATTTTTAAACTTCTACCACTATAGAAGGCTCCTAACTTTTGCTTTTCCTTATCTCAGCTTCTTTTGCTTTGCTGGCCAGAAACCAAATATTTCTAAAGAGGCAGGCTTGGCATTATCTACTTTCATAGGACCACCTGGATACAGTCAAGGTGAAGATGAGAGGTAAGCATTGTAAACAAAGACCAGAGAGCCCGTTCTTGAATATCCTGTTATAAGATTCTTCTAAATTTCAGAAGATCGTTGGTGGATGGAAGGAGTCCGATAAAAAGACTGAAATTGGGTTTTTCATTGACTAAATAGAAGAGGACTCAGCATAATTTAACTATACTAGAGAAATTAAGAGAAGAGATATCTCCTGCACTCTGTTGTTGCAGAACAAAACGGATACCCACTACAACTGTGGGTCATATACAATTTTTAACCAGAAATATAACCTGGTTGTACATAAATTTTAGAAGGCTAACTATCAACTATGTAGAGGAGGAACTGGAAGGGGGAGACCCAGTTGAAAAAGAATCAAGTTAGGTGTGATCCTCTGCCATGATAAGGAGAGTAATCGGGATAGTCGTTGGGAATAAAGAGGAGAGGAAAGGCTCCATAATATTTCAGAGGCTAAATCACGAAGGATATGAATACAAGTTTGAAGATTTAAATATGAGCCATTATGTCTTAGAGGCATATGCAACCCCATATCCATGTTGGTTACTTCATGCCAGGCACAGTGCTCATACTTAGCAGGTGCTTAATAAATACATGCTGAATGAATAAAAGAGCGAGTAAATGTATGTAAGTTCCATACACAAGCAAATATATGCATTTTCACTACATTAAAAATTAGTCTTGTCACGAAAGTGACAAGAAAAGACACAGGCTGGGAGAAAAATCTTTGCAAAAGACACATCTAATAAAAGGTTGTTATTCAAAATATACTCTTAAAACTGAACAATGAGAAAATAAACATCATGACTGAAAAAAAAATTGCGAAAGACCTTGTAGACACCTCACCAAAGAAGATATACAAATAGCAAATAAGCATAACAAAAGATCCTCTACTTTATATGTTATTAGGAAAATGTAAATGTAAACAACAAGGAAATACCACTACATATCTATGAGAATGGCCAAAATCCATAAAACTGACAACACCAAATGCTGGCGAGGATGTGGAGCAACAAGAACTCTCATTCATTACTGGTCAGAATGCAAAAGCGTACAGACACTTTGGAAGACAGTTTGGAAGTCTCTTATAAAACTGAATAATAATCTTACTATAAGATCCAGCAATCAAATTCCTTGGAATTTATTTACCTGAAGGAGCTGAAAACCCTGTCCACACAAAACTCTGCACATGAATGTTTGTAGCAGCTTTAGTCAAAATGTCAAAACTTGGAAGCAACCAAAATGACCTTCAGTAGGTGAGTGGAAAAACAAACCATGGTTCATCCAGACAATGGAATATTTTTCAGCACTAAAATAAAATGAGCTATCAAGCCATAAAAAGACATGGAGGGACCTTAAATGCATATTACTAAGTGGAAAAAAAATCAATCTGAGAAGGCTAAACACTGTGTGATTCGAACTACATGACATTCTGGAAAAGGGAAAACTATAGAAACAACAAAATTAGTGGTTGCTAGGGTGGGGGGTCGGGGGAGATCATCCCCTGTCCCAATTCATATGTTGAAGGATAAATAGGTGAAACACAGAAGATTTTTGGCCATTGAATCTAATCTATTCTGTATGATACTGTAATGGTGGATGTGTCATTATACATTTATCAAAACCCATAGACTATATGACCCCAAGGCTGAACCCTAATGTCACTGTGGACTTTGGTTGATAATGATGTGTCAATGTAAGTTCACCAACTGCAACAAATGTACCACTCTGGTGGGGGATGTTGATAGTGGGGGTGGTTGCATGTATATGTGAGGACAGAGGGTAATGGGAAATCTTAGGACCTTCCGCTCAATTTTGCTATGAACCTAAAACTGCTCTAAAAAATAAAGTCTATTTAAAGGGGGGGAAGAACGAATCTGGGAGCCAGCATGACGATTTATGACTCAGTACCTGAGTGGTGGTTATGGAAACGAGAGCATTTCCGCATTGCCTGAACATGGTATTCTAACCAGTAGACTGCACTTGTATAAAGGTCAATAAGCCTATTAATGAAGAAAATGCTAGCGTGGCAGGAGGAAATTCAAGTACACAGGATTATTATGAGGTATATGTCAAAGAACAGAGGATGAGAATTTGAACCAACTTAGCCCAGTTTGCCATTCCATGAATGTTAGATCACTCGAGACTTCATCAGAACGCTCCAGCACTTAGAGGGGATGACAACTCTGTGTTTCCAACTTACCATCTTTCTATCAGGCAGTTGTAGCAAAAGCACATTTCAGACCATAATGTTCTAAGCAGACAAATATTTGTTAGCAACCAGGCACAAAACAATCATCCTGCCTGTGTATACTTGGAGTATGTTCAGACTCAAAACTTGACACAAAATGCCGAAACCAGTTTGGCTCAGTGGATAGAGCGTCGGCCTGTGGACTGAAAGGTCCCAGGTTCGATTCCGGTCAAGGGCATGCACCTTGGTTGCGGGCACATCCCCAGTAGGAGATGTGCAGGAGGCAGCTGATCGATATTTCTCTCTCATCAATGTTTCTAACTCTCTATCTCTCTCCCTTCCTCTCTGTAAAAAATTAATAAAATATATTTTAAGAAAACAAAAAACTTGACACAATGACCAGCCCTTCATGAAAGGCTCTCTCCAAGATGAAGACAGGCATGTGCTGACAGAAGGAGCATCAGGCCTTTTAGTCAGACCAGATGACAGGATTGTCCACTGATGGGGAGAGGTACAGGGTCTTAGGAGCTGTCCCCATGGTATGAATTACTGGCCTGGAACATGATAAATAATGAATTTCTGGTGTTGATTTTGACAAGAATATTTTTGAATGCCACCTGGCCAATTCTTAGGGTGTTAACTCTATTAAGCCACTTCATATGCTTATTGATTCCTAGGGTGTAGATTAGAGTTAAATTGTAGGCACAGAGTTCCCAGTGTTTACATACTGTGGTATTGTAAAATATATTACGACAAACAATAAAACCAAAAGAAACATCCAGAAAAAGATTTTAAGAAATCTCCAACATCAGAATGAAACTGTACCTCTGCTTTGTGTTGTACTAGTAACTATGAAATCTAATTGTATGTTTCCAGTTATTGTCTGGAGAGAGTGAGAGTATATGGGGCTCTATAACATTTGCACAAGAACAATTGAAAGCAATTACTTCCTTGGTTGATGTAGCATCATGGATCCTTTCTGAGATTCCCCATGAACAAAACCTTGATATAAGGCTTTATTTGATGGATTTATTTATTTATTTTTGTAACAAGAAGAGCCATGAGTACTATGGATGAGCAGAAAAATATCCCAGAGACAGGTTGTCATAGAAACTGTGCCAGGAGAGCAGCTACGCACAGGATAGAATGCACCATCCAAAGAACTGAGGAAGGAAATCATCTTGAAGCTACTCTTTTCATTAGTTTGGAGGAGCAAAGCTCTCATGAATCTCCTCATGGAAATTGTCATCACTGATAGTAGGAGTAGGTGGGATACAGGGAGGCTGTGGGGCTGGCGATAGTCCTATAGTCTCCTCATAGGACTTTAAAAAAATATTTTATTGATTTTTTTTTACAGAGAGGAAGGGAGAGGGATAGAGAGTTAGAAACATCGATCAGCTGCCTCCTGCACACTCCCTACTGGGCATGTGCCCGCAACCAAGGTACATGCCCTTGATCAGAATCGAACCTGGGACCCTTCAGTCCACAGGCCAACGCTCTATCCACTGAGCCAAACCGGTTAGGGCTCATAGGACTTTTTTTTAGGAGATTAAAACAGATAAAATATATAGAACACCTACTATATGTAGTCCCTGAAAAATATTAATAACAATAATCTTTATGATCTCATATCCTCCTCACTACAATCCTCTAAGGAAGACATAGTCATTCAAATTTTTCAGATGAGAAATTAAGGTGCAGAGAAATTGGATTGTTTAAGGTCACATGGTAAGTGATCTCTGACTCTAGGGCCCTTGCCCTTAACTTCTCTGCTGGACTGAACAAGTAGGCAATCGATAACTGATAATAATTACAAAAATGATTCTTTGGTGGTGAAATGATAGTAGGAGTTTCAATTGCTATGAAATACATATGGCATAATGCTATAACATTTGTTGATGTTGTTTTTACTTTAGGTTTATTTTTCCTAATCCAAACAGAAGTGTCATCCTACAGGATGACAAACAAGTACTTTGTTCCCTTCTCCCCACCCAGGTTGTCCAATCAATCTATGTTCTCCTACAGGAATCTCTCTCTCTCTCTCTCTCTCTCTATCTCTCTCTATCTCTATCTCTATCTCTATCTCTATCTCTATCTCTATCTCTATCTCTATCTCTATCTCTATCTCTATCTATCTATCTCTCCCTGTTTCCTGAAGGAGAAGCTTATGGCTGGAGCTTCCTTACCACACCTTCCCTTAAGTTTCAGGATCTTACTTTATGGTCTGAATTCTGTCCCCTCCCCCAAATTCCTATGTTAAAGTCTATTAAAGAGAAATTATTCATGACACTTGTTAAACAATAGTAAGGCAGACTTTATTCAGGGGGACTATCACCATAGGTATAAGGACCACTATGATGGGATTTTGTATTAGGGGAGAGAGAGATTGCCTCAACTCCAAATATAAGGAAATATGGGAATTTGTAGCCAAGAAGTAGGAGCGGGGAGTCAGTGGATGGAAAATTAGTAAGAGGAAACATCATGGGTAAGGGAGGATTCTGCCTAAACGGAGCTAACAGGACTCTTGCTAAAGGCAGGCCAGGTTGATCATTTCACCCGAATGATGACGGGTGATTCTGGTTAAACTGACCTAACAGGATTCTTGCTAGAAATGGGCTTTACTGGGAAGAGCATGAGAGCCCAAGGTCAGGCCTAGTCCAAAGAGAGCTCAGAAGAGCTGGACCAACGGTTGGTCAAGGAAAGAATCTTTGTCAAGTCTAACCTCCCAATGCCTAAAAATGTGATTGTATTGGAGATAGGGCCTTAAAGAGGTGTTAAGGTAAAATGAGGTCGTATGGT